TGGACACACGAATATGGAATTGTGAATTTCACACGAATATGACCCCGAACTTGGTCAACAGCCAAGCAACAGCCGAAGCAAGTACGATGCCTACAGAAGGCCACACCCGAACCACACACTCCGTCTTGTTGTTTGCATAGCAACAACAACTTCCTGTCAACAGCGTAAACTCACCTTCAAAATAAAAGCATCTACAGTAAATAAAACAGGAAGTGAACCTAAATTACATTTAAGACATACAACTGAAACGAAAGTAACAAAAACAATGTAATATCCTTTTCAGTTTCACAGAACACAAATTGTACTATAATACGATGGCTACACGACGGCATTGCGAGGGCTTCACGTAGTCGTGTTGTCTTCCTAAGACAATCGGGCAGCTTCTTGTTTCCTTCGTATCGTCTTTGTGAGGCGAAAAATGCCCGATGGCACCGATGATCACACAAAGTAAAGACGAAGATGACACGATTTGACAAGATGCCCTCACGATGGGCAACATGGACACACAAATTCAACACGAAAATGAACCTTTGCAAGGTCTTTGGACAATTTTTTGGCATGTCAAAGATTTTGCCACCGCTCACGAAGTTGCTGCCGGAGCCTGAGAAACTCCACCAGCGGCCATACAATGGCTTAAGATGCCCTGACGAATGGCCGATGCCTTCACCTGGCCCATGTTACAATCACAGCTGAATTTGAACATTTCCTTTATTGTGTGTCCATCTGGTGTCAATTTCGGGACAGTGTGACGCAGGCTTTACTGCCCCATTGGTGATGATATGCGAGAATGGACAGATGGGGTAATGGTACCAACACATCATATGGTGTAGATTCCATTTTGTGGTATTTGGCCTCAGTAAAAGAAGCAGACGTAGAATAGATTATTAAAAAAAAACATGTTTGTTAATGTGTTATTCTATTTTTGTGAGAACAGCCACACAGGGTCTTTCTGAAGCTGACAAAGACACTGGTGCTTTGAGCTAAAGGCTAGCATTGCATGCTGATAATAACAATGTAAACACCATCTGAGTTTAGTACAACTGATTAGAATGTTACATACATTGCAATGGCATCAGAGGGAAAGTGAGGCGATCACGTGCTATGTAGGGGTGTAACGGTATACGTACCCGTACCGAAATTATTCGGAATGGGCCCTTCGGTTCGGTACACGTGTGTAATTTTTCTTTAAAAAAACATGAAAATACAATGACAAGCAAGTCATAATGTCAAACTGGCTGCTTAGGTACTAGTACAGTACAGTTCAAATACAGATTATTTCAGTTCATCGAAATGCTGCATCTTAATGTTTATTTTATTATATTTTGTATTTATTTGAGTGAATATTCACAGTTTCATAATAATTAAAAACCCAAAACTAATAGTTGATGTTTTGTGAGTACTAGTACAGTAAAGTTCAAATACAGATTATTTCAGTTCATCGAAATGAAATAATGTTTATTTTATTACATTTTGTATTTATTTGAGTGAATACATTATTCACAGTTTAATAATACTAAAAATGTTTATGTTTTGGGATCATTTTTCCTGCTGTACCGAAAACGTACCGAACCGTGACCTAAATACCCAAGGTACGTACCGAACCGAAATGTTTGTGAACCGTTACACACCTAGTGCTATGGGGGACATATTTGGCCCTACTAAGTTTAATGGCAAACCATCCAAAAGTTGTTGAGTTGTTTCCCCAAAACCCATAAAAGTGTCAATGTAATGGTGGTGCAAATCAAAAAGGTAGTCAAACAACAGAACCGCAACCCATATCTGAAAATGACCATGCACAAACACATGAAGTTATGATTTTCTTTATTGTCTTAGTTAAGGTTTCCTCCTTGCACAAACACCCCTAGGAGATCTCCTTACGTTTTCCTTAAAATAAAGTATTTTTTCACAAAACAAAGTTAATTACAAGTTTAATAATGTAAGTGGAATAGATTTAAAGAAAAATGACTTCATCCCGGGAAGAGAAGAACCCAATGCATATGCAAAATAAGCATATTGGTTGTTTTTCAATTGGTTTGACACAACAGGTAAGTGGTAGCCAAGAAACTGTCTCTATGGTAACTGTACATTTGTACCGCTGTAAAATGTCTTTCAATTAACACAGTGTGTCTTCACACACACAAACACACGCGTTGACCTCTCAGCCGTGGCATAATTCTGTATTCCATGAACACTCTCCAAGCTCTGCTCTATCACTCTCACTTCAATTCTACATAATAGAGGCCGGGTCATTCATTAGCCCCCTTTAAACCATCGATCAGAGAAAGAAGTGGGGGGGAGAGAGTATGAGTCAGAATGGGAGAGAGAGAAACACACACAGCCCGTCCCTGTGTTAAAACTGATAGGCTACTAAAGCCTTTTTATGTGACTGTGATCTAAAGCGCAGCCATTCTTTCACTGCTGGTAGTTAAGAGAGAAATAAAGTCTGCTTAATCTTCTCCTTGCAACCTTCCACACGTCAAACACACAAAACAAAACTGCTTCAGATGACGTTTTTATGGCACGCTTGATTTGTATAAGCCCGTTCTTTTTTTTCATTATGGTGTGTTATTCTCTTTTTGTCTTGTTTAATCTTCTATGTCTTTCTACGCTGTCTTTGTGAAGGCTTTTTCTTCTCTTGAAATCACACTAGCTACAAAAGCTTTATTGAGTACAGTCAGATGGCTTTCATGTGTTTCAGTGGAAGAAAGTCCTCTTTCAAATATAGTGTAAAAGGGGTTTGTATTGTAGCTGGAGAACAAACCACGGTATTTTTCAAACAGATTGGCGATTGAAAGGGCAGAAAGAGACAAATATACCTCTGAGCATCAGTTGGAATAAGAATAGAAAATAAATAACAAGTCATTTGTGAAAGCAAGCCGGAGGCTAAGCATAGAAAATATGTGCAGATTGAATGGGAACAGCTTCCTGTTTCAGTGTCAAGTACACAATGATATACTTCTGATAACAGGCAATCTGATGTTCTAGGTATTATTCTTTACAAAATGTGTATAGAAATAGCATTTAGCCATACAATCTAACCACTGCAGAGTATACATGCTGAAAGTAATTGGCTTCCCAAAATATTTGGGGCCCAATTGCATTGTTTGGTTCAATAATGGATCAAACTCTGAGTTTCATTCCCTGTCAAGCAACACTGTGGGGACGTTTAAAGCATTTCATTATTCCTATTAGGGGCACAAACTATGTTAAAAGTAAACAATATATTTGATGGCTTAATTGTTTTTATCTCTTTTCATATAGCCATAATTGAAAGAAAGATGAAAACACTCAATATAATTACTTTTATAGTTATTTTGCTGTACCCGTTATACTGTTTCCATAGTGCTCGGTCAGCAGTTAATCACCCATGCAATAGAAATCCATCCATCTTCTCCCGCTTATCCGTGGTCGGGTCGCGGGGGTAGCAGTTCCAGCAGAGAGCCCCAAACTTTATTTTCCCTGGCGACATCAACCAGCTCTGACTGGGGGATCCCAAGGCGCTCCCAGGCCAGCGAAGAGATATAATCCCTCCACCTGGTCCTAGGTCTACCCCTTGGTCTCTTCCCAGCTGGACGTGCCTGGAACACCTCCCTAGGGAGGCGCCCAGGTGGCATCCTAACTAGGTGCCCGAACCACCTCAACTGGCTCCTTTCGACGTGAAGGAGGAGCGGTTCAACTCCGAGTCCCTCCCGGATGACCGAACTTCTCACCTTATCCCTAAGGGAGACACCAGCCACCCTGCGGAGAAAACCCATCTCGGCCGCTTGTATCCGCGATCTCGTTCTTTCGGTCAATAGAAATCCATAAAGAAATAATCTCTTATAGACCTTCTATTCACTGTTAGTGACTAAAGCGGGTGTTTTTCTGGGTCTAACAAAAATATATTCTAATTTGAAATATGGTTTCCATACTAATAATAACTGATATTAGAAGGTTATGTAGACAACATTTAATGAAATTTGAACTGTCAAATATGAGGGTGATCTCTTTAAAAAGAAAATAAATCTTGCCCATATATCCCCCGCAGGGTCCTTCCATCTATGAGCTCACATACACAGGATTTCAGCTTAATGGCCTCTAATGGTCGTGGTTGCCGCAGAGCATTTTTGGTATGTGTCACTTTCCAGTTGGTCTTCGGAACAGGATGTGGATGTGTGTGTTGATATGACCGTCTCTCTGTAACAGATAATGAGGCAGTGTGTGCTTCACCCTGGGAAACTGGTAGCACTAACTTTGTCACATTGCTGGACTGTTTTGACACACTCTGCCCGGCTCAGCTCTGCGGCAACACTTCCACCCCAAATGGGTTTCCGAGCGATCCCTCAGACCTCAACAATGACAAGCCTGTGTCGCCGGGCGTAATTATTGCTGCCCACCAGCCGTGTGTGTTTTTATTGGAGGTTGTCGGTCGGTGTGTGACTCAGACAGACGATTTAAAAGAGGAGAAGGAATTGCTTTAAAGAATACATGACTAATAGCCAGTAAAATACAGAGGTTTGATGACTTATTTATTGCAACTCATGCAGAAACCCAAACACTAAAGTCCATCACTTTGTTTCATAAAATGTTAATGTGGCAAAAATCCAATTTATTTGATGTGTTCACACCGTCTTTAATCCATAAAAAGCCAATAACAATGAGATTTATCAGTTTTATTTTATAATAAAATGAAGTATATTTTTTGTTATGTCAACAAAATAACCAACAACAGTGTGATTTACTAACTCAAAAACATATTTAACACGAGAGCAGCGTGGACATTGCTGAGATTTTCTAGATAAACTGGATGTCTGCCACATTTTCAAAATAAGTTGGAAATTGGTTCATAATTCTTAAATGTTTAAGAGAGTTTGTATAGGGTATAGAAGGCAGTTCAAAGCTCTACTTTCACACATGGAATCCCCCCCAACTGCAGTGGAGCTGGTCTCCTGTCCACACATTTAGGTATTTTATAACTTAAAAGTCTGAAACTTTTAAAACATGCCCGCTGCTTTTCTTACCTTCTTCTTTGACTTGAAAACGTTGCAGCGGAAAACATTACTCTGTCCGTCTCTGGCGATGTAGCTGAAAATCTTCAGATCCTGCGAGTCATGAGAGACGTAGAATATCCTGAAAGATAAAATAAAATAGGTCAGAAGATTTTTAAAAAAGGAATGTGAATAAGATGCAGAACATAATCGAAGCCTGGCAGCGTTCCTTAAATGAATCCTCAGATGCAGAACAGGCACTCAGCCCATTTCTCTGGGGTTTCAAAGTGACAACGATAAATACAATTTTAAGCTTTTTTTAATCCAAAAGGCATAAGAACGAAATTAGGCTCAAAAAAGGAGTGAATAAATCAAATAAAGGGAAGTGAGTTTTGAATACAATTAACTGGCAGGTGCTGACTTCCTCATAATTTCTTTGAGATTCAGTGACAGACATTGAAAGTCAACTTTTGTTCAAAGTAAAAAAAAAAGAAGACCTCCAGTGACAACGGTGACAAGGAGACAGAGGAGACAGAGGAGGTAATATAATCACAACAAAAATATCCTGTGTGCGGCTGAAGGGGGAAACTAAGATAGAGACAATAATAGAGTTCTGCTGGCAGCCAGAGAGTGTGCAGCCTCAGCACACAGACGAACAATATCCTGCACAGCAGGTGAATATGAAGGAATAAGTCGGGGAGCAAAGGGGAGCGCAAAAGAGAATACACTAGAACCTGCAGGAGAAAGAACATATTATGAGTCTAGCTCTACACTAGATCTATTTTATGTGGAGAAAAATATAAATTCTTGAGGGTAAAGCTTTGCAGTAATGGAGACAAGACCAAAAGCAACCAATCTGGAAGATATGCACTCCATACAAGAAAGATGCTTAAACAAGACAGGGTGTTTTTTGTTTTATTCCACAAAGAGCAAATCCTGAACCAATGCACTTTCTTCAATGATCTGAAAACAGAAATGCGTTTTCTATTATATCTTCTTTTCTATTATATTTGTTAATTCATTATTCATTAATGTCAGCACAGCGCAGTACACTTCCAGGAGGTTGGATATTGTTTAAGAAGCATTGTGCTTCCTCATCTGATTTGAAGTTTAAGTTTCCATTTGTGCATCTAGTGAGAGTTCACTTTCAATATTTATACAATCTTTCCCCGAACCCTAGCCTCAACGTAACCATAACATCACATATTAGTTTGCATCACAGCCTGGAGTGGATTCTGGTCTTTAATTGTTTAGTAGACTAAAAGAGTACACACCAACCTTGGTGATTTTATGTTCCTGATTCCAATTAGTTATTTTTAGTTTGAGATTGGGTTGATAAGAAACCATAGCCTAATGTTTCTACCGTGTTTCCCCAGCATCATTCTAACAGAATTTCTGAAAATGTTTGTTCAATTAAAATAAACATTTGAAGCTTGCAAAACGATCTTATTTGCATACTGTTGATCTCTGTTAATGCAAATGCTCAAATCAAAATAATCAACATGTAGCTTATGCGCTGTATAATCAAGTTATAATTATGAGACTTGCAGACTACATCACAAATTCACACAACAGCCATAAAGACAGCAGCCTAATGGAAAAGTATTTCAAATCTTCACTGTAATGACCTTAATCTCATTCATATGTTGTGGTTGTAAACAAAAATATTTGTAATTGTGCAACCTATGTGCTTTCTCAAGATCATTATGAATCCTTGATGCTTTTATATATATTACAAGTGACTGAAGACCTCATCGCTACATTGGAATGAGGGATTTAATGAGTGAAGAAGAAAACAAGTCCACAGCTTGTTATAAACGTTTATAAATAAGAAAAAAAAGCTTCATTGTTATGTGTTTTGGCTTTCCACAAAACCTTAATAATTACTACAAGCTGTTACCTCTTCACAATGAACACTGCACTTCCTTTTTGTTTTTCAATGTTGTTCAAAATAAAGGTTAATGAGTTGTTGGTGTTTGTTAATATAATTAAACTGGAAATATCAACTGGTAAAAGAAGAAACAGAACGATACCTCAGGCAGAGCTTTCTAATTGGCCAATTACCTCCATATTAAAGGACATGGTGGTGTTGGGTAATTTATCACAGTGAGACAAGGGAAAACCAGGCAAAACCACAAATTAGTTGTAAACTATGCAAATGTTGTTTCTGTTCAAATGTGTGCTAGGGTGTGTTTGTGTGCATGTGAGTTTGGTATGTGCCGGTTTGTGTGTTATCAGAGGTCTCTTCTATACACTCAGTGACATTTCTGTGGTATTTGTGTTGTCCTTTACTGTAGGAGCCACACTGGCTGAGGTCTTGTGGTAAAGAAGACGCTGTCTTTCTCGACCCTGCTTCAGACTTTCAAAATACCAGACACAGCTAGGTATCTGCGGTGACTCATACAATCCCAAACACACACACTTACACACACTGCTGCTGCAAAACTATAAGAAGAATATATATGTGCTTGTTTTTGCTTCAGTTATTGGCCTTTGATTGACATCATGGTCAACAACTTTAAAATATGAATAATAGGGACAGTTTACAGCAAAATGTCCACCCCTAAATATATGTTTTCAAAGAGTTATTTAAATATTGCTGATGTAAGTGCTGTCTCAGCAGAATCAGGACAGAATGGAGGTCAAAGAGATGATAGACAGAGTGATGTTGGGGTCACTTGAAGCCAAAAAACCAACACTGATTCTGAAGGGCCAACAGTGGAGGGTATCAGCACAAAGGCCCAGAACACTAGGGTTGAAACTCGGTTCCAGATGAGAACCGACAAGAAAATGCCGGGTACCGGGTGGTACCCATACAAAATAAACAATTAAGGTTCTGCTTAACGGTTCCTAAACGCGGTAGACCCTGTATTCCACGGGTCCATCTGCGCCACTGTGACCCGGTGGAATACAGGGTAAGGGCGGACTGGCCATCTGTGTGTTCTGGAGAATCACAGAACGACCGGTCGTCAGCGGGCCGTTGATGGCCGGCACCACCCTTAATTTTTTTTAACTGCATCATGTAAGTTGCGCTGACAGGCGACAGAGGTCCACAGTTGCCCAGCAGCCAGGCTCCCCCCGCCCTCCCGTAGATAGTTCACGAGCTCAGTCACTTCATAACACCAAAGATGGATCGCAGTAAACGCTCTAAAGGCTCCACTACACTAAAAAAGAAAAAGACAAGGCACAGTGTAATGCCTGTTAATAGCTTGCCACAGGCATAGCTCAGTTAAAATAAAGCACAGCTATTGTGCAATACATTTGTATTGCATGTATATTTTTTATTTGTAACAATGTCAGTTACAGCTTAAAAGAATAAAGATATTTTTGTTATCTAAACGTTTGAACTCTTTCTTTTACAATTTTGGAATCGAAACGGGGAATCGATAAGCAGAACCGGAATCGATACATTTCAAACGATACCCATCCCTACAAAACAGCAACATCAACCAGCAAGAAACCAGTTATTTTATAACCTAATTTGAAGGTGTATATTTGTATTTTGTGCCTCTACTGTGACCTGTCACCATACTTTAATGTTCAGAAAGGTCTTTTTTTTTCTCATACAGCCTGTGATGCAGCACCTCTTTTCACCCTCTGCCTGAAACCAGAGCCCAGTCTGCTCTGATTGGTTAGCTGGCCGGCTCTGTTGTGATTGGTCAACCGCTTAAAGATGCGCCGCTCCTTAGCACGTCAAATGTGATGGAGTGCTAGCCAATAAAAGAATGAGTGATATATAGTGATGTCACTATGTTACCGAAGTAAACAAAATACTCCAATGGAGGCGTTTCAGGCAACGGGGGAGTGTGTGCATCCACATGCACAAAACCTAACACACTACAGGAAAAGGAAATCCCCAAGAAGTATAATAAGGCTGAATAAGATTTTAATTCTGTAATGTATCAGATAAAACCCAAACTATAAATAGTTTTGTTTGGTTATTGAAATCAAGCTTTTACTATTGTATTTCAATGTGTTATTGTTAAGTTGCTGTACAACTGCATAGCACCTTAATTACTCATGATATAAATTCAGCCTTGCCACCACTTTTTAAGTCAGAGTTAGCATCAATAGTTAAATCCATGACAATGTGCTTATCACAGCTAATGAGCAGCTCAGAAACGTTAAGTTATTTCTGAACATTTCTGAAAAAAGGCGGCATTATGCACCCAGATGTCAGTGAGGTTAGACATTATGCTGCGGGTTAATGAGGTTAGCAGAAACATTGCGGTATGTGTCTATGTCAACAAACACAGAGGGCTTGCAGGGTCTCTATTATCGAGTCGTGTCATCTACTGAAGGGAAATTGGACCGCTCCCATCCGGCTGTAGAAACCTTTAAGTTATCTCCCTTTCAACTCTTCCTCTAACACAACCCTCAGACCCTGAGTCTCTGTGATAAAAAGTAATGTCCCCACAGACCTCTTTCTTTGATATCTAGAGTAGGGGGCAGGGTGGGATTTTCACGACGGCCAATGGCCACCATGGCCTTTGGGCCCCTCACACTGTTAAAAGTTACTTTAAAAGCATCAGAACAGTGGTTTCTGAACTGCATTATGCTGCGTTCACAACGGACACGATGCGAATATTCGCATTGCTCTAACCGCTGGAGTTTCACCGCGGCTGTCAGCTGTGTTTACTCCTGTCATTCAAACAGGACGTGCTGGAGAGGGGGCGGGACTTATATCCATGTAAATACTGTGGTGGAAACCAACTACGACCAAATGAACCTATTTTACCGTGATTTCATTGTAATACACGTTTCAAAATAAGTAAAGTAACTAAATACTGATAACGGTTAGTAAAAACCATGCTTTAATGCTTTGACAAGTGTGCAGACAAGACGGCATGCAAAACCTTTTAAAATGCGCGTTTTCTGAATGGAGATTGGATCGATCAGGCTAAACTAACGTTGTAGCTGCTCCGTCCACACTCACAACAACGTCCTAAAGACAGAATTAAAGCAGCGACTGTATTCGTCATGACACAGACAGTCTGTGGTTTGTACTTGTTTAACTTTTGTCTAGTTTCAGAACAGATATGAGGAGCTGTGAGGAGTTGATTAAAGAGACACACACACATACAGTTTTGCATTTCAAAGTATTGCTTGTTCATACAGTTGGATGTTGGAGCTTCACTGTGC